TGCCATTTTTCCAACAGCATTTGCTCACTTTGAGTCTCTCTGTCACATTTTGGTAATTCTTGCAATATTTCCAACTTTTCACTATCATTTTTGTTAAGGTGATCTGTGATCAGTGATTAGAACTCACTGAAAGCTCAGATGATAGTTAGCATCTTTTAGCAATAAGGTATTTTTTTATTAAGGTAGGTACATTGTTTTTTTAAGATGTAACCCTGTTGTACAGTTAATAGATTGTAGTGTGAGGTAAACATAACTTTCATATGCACTGGGAAACCAAAGATCTCATTTGACTCACTTTGGTAGGATAATTATTTTTTGCAGTGGTCTGAAACCAAACCCAAAATGTCTCTAAGGTCTGCCTATATAAGATATAGGATTAGAAATGTAAGCAGATTGCAAAGGACCCTTAAAATGTTTAAATTTTGAATATTATGTGAAGTTGTCAGATTTTTTTTACCTGTGGTAAAATATACATAAAATTTTACCATTTTAATCCTTTTTAACTGTACAGTTAAATGACAGTAAGTACATTCACAATGCTCCATAACCATCACAACCACATCCAGAAATTTTTCATAATCCCAAACAGAAACTCTGTACCCATCAAATGATAACTCCCCATTATTCCTTCCCCTGAAGCCCTGGTAGCCACTAGTCTCCTTTTTGTCTCTATGAACTTGCCTATTCTAGCTACCGCATAATAAGTAGAATCATTCAATACTTGTCCTTTTTGTTATCTGGCTTGTTTTGCAAAGCATAATGTTTCCAAGGTTCATCCATGTGGTAGTATGTATCAGAATTTCATTTCTTTTTATGGCTGAATAATATCCTATTGTCTGTACATACATTTTGTTTATCCATACATCTGCTGATGGACACTTGGGTTATTATCACCTTTTCATTGTCATGAATAACACTGCTATAAACATTGGTATACCAGTATATGTTTGAGTCCCTCTTTCAGTTCTTTTGGGTATATTCTTAGAAGTGGAATTGCTGGATCATACAGTAATTCTATATTTACTTTTTGAAAAACCACTAAACTGTTTTCCACAGCAGCTGCACCATTTTACATTCGCACCAGCAATGTACAGGGTTCCAGTTTCTCCACATCCTCACCAACACTTACTATTTTCTGTTTTAAAAAAAGATAAGTTACCCTAAGAGGTACAAAATGTTATCTCATTGTAATGTGAATATGCACTTCCCTGGTGTCGGAGGTTTTAAGTAGAAGAGTGAAATGATCAGAAATGTACAGTAGTGTAGGTTTCTCTGGTAACAGGGTATGGCAGAGAAGATGTGAAGTAAAAAGGACTAAGAAACTATCATAATAATCTTAATAAGAGATGAAAAAGGTCATAACCAGAGTAGTGGGAGTGGAAACGAAGAAGTGAATGAAAGCTACTTGCAACTGCCAGAATGGGAAAGAGTAGTGAAAAAGCAGGAAGAGCTTAAGATGATGCTGAGATTTTGAGTCAGAGCAACTCAAGAAGGGTGATGGTATTTATTGAAAACAGGAACCCAGTATGAATAAGTTTGTGGAGAAAGGTGGTAGGAGTGTCCATGAGGAACAATCTAGTAAGCAATTAGAAAAGTAACTCAAGCTCAGTAAGAGTTTAGATCAATCTAGCTAGACTCTTAAGTAAAGGTTTAAATAAAAAATTAAGCTCTGGCTGTGGCTAAAATAGCCAAGGGAACATGCGTGTATAGTGAGAAGACAACAAAGGACAACCTTGGAGAATTCTTCCAATGAAAACTGAATGATCACTAATAATTAAGGAGCTGATTATGCTGGTATGTAAAGTCCAGACTTTGCAAAATCAGTCTTAAAATTTACAATTACCAATATGACTTAGAGGTTAAGTAAAAACTGGAAATGCAAGTTATATTTTCTTTTTTCCAGCTCTCCCATAAAGTAACTGTGAAGCTCTATGCAATCCCCTTCACCATCCTGTCCATCTCCCCTCTAACAAATGAAAACACAGAGCTGCAGGTTTGCCAGGGTCCCAACTAAGACTACCAAATAGGCAAGAATAAATGTATAGATGTACAAAAGTTACTTTAAAAACATAAACTAAATTAAGAACATGACTGACAAACATGATTTACTCCATAATTACTTAGCAACCCAAACTACTTGGTGACTGCATTAGTACGATTCTCTAAAATGTTTAGACAATTAATATCAACATGCTTAACAAGTGGTTTGTCAAACAGCTCGGCAAGACATTAATAAGACAGCACAAATTTGGCAAAAAACTGTGCAGCAAGATGACCAACAATTTGATTTCAAAGATATACTGTTTATTACTGTTGTCTCACTATAAAAGCAGAACTGTGATCTCTACTTGTCACATGCCTATCTCATTCACCCTGCCTGTGAGTTACTTCTGCTACTAACCTAGATCAGCCTTCACTTCTCAGGCAGGGACTCCAATAAAACTTCCTAACGGATCTCCCCACTCTAGATTCTGACTTCTAATGCAGCTCATATAGATCAGGCGGGTGCATCTCCCTAAAGGACCATTTGATAAAACCACCCCTAGAGTTAAAACTATGTAATGGTTCCCCATTAAGTTGAATCTTAATTTGTATTCAAGGCCCTCTCCAGTTTCAGCACAACTTTTCAGTTTTATCTCACAAACTCTTCTCTTCCACTCAGTGCTACAATCCATCTGGCCTACCCACTGTTCCCTAGTGTTCAGTACACCTTCCCATCTCTATGACACTCTCTTGACTCCTTCCTCTTTGTTCAAATGAGGCCCAGATGAAATACTTCTTCTTTGCTTTCAATGTACCTTAACTCCACAAATACTTATGTGTTTTCCGTGTGTTAGAATGTGCTAGAAGCAATGGAAAATGAAAAGATGAGGAAGCCTTTTAGGAACTTAGAGCAGGAAAAAAATAAACAAGCTCACAAATGATAACATCCCAGAAGAATAGAGACTAATCAAGATCTTTTAACTCTTTTTCCTGCCATAATTGACTTTAAAAAATAATAAAATAAAAACTATACTGCTTATCTCCTGGGTAAATTTTGCCCTTTATACAACTCTACCATTTACACTAGAGTAGCCCATCCAGAATACCAAACAAAAGTAGGTTAATATTAATAAAGTTGGAAAATGATATTATTTTTTGCTTAGTCTCTTAGAACAGGGGCAAGTATCTAAGAAATACAGTAAATTATGGTACATGGATTTTCTCCATTAAAAGGTGAGAGAGGTTGCCTGGTTCTATTTTTCTCCTCTAAAATATATTTAGACTACCATTATTGTCAGATTCCTTATGACATAACCTCAGCCCTTACCACTGCTCTCTAAAAACTGTAATATTCTTTCTTTATTGAGCTTCTCAGCTTCAAAGTTTCCAATATATGTAACATTTACCCTACATTTTTAAGGTAAAGATCATTTAACCACTCTTCTCTCCCACATATCTTCTAGAGCTTTGGAATACAGATGTTACTACTGCCAAATTTTATAGGTGAAAACAACTTTAAGATCAATCATTCTAATTTCTTTCACAATTCAGGCCATATTTTTAAAATTTGTGCTCACATACCTATGATGTCAAAATACTATAAACTAAGGGGATGACCCACTCGACTTTCTGCACCAGAGGTCCTCCTTGCCCAAAATAAACAACATGAAAACAAAAAACCTGTGCCTAGAATACCAAAACTTTTTAAGTTTGTATTTTCCCATAACTTGATGCTTTGATTAATCATACTTGATCAGATTAATGCCACTAAAGAATATTGTAGAAACTATTATCACACGTAAAAAGGAAAGAGATTATTACATATTTGCCTTCCCCAGACAAAAACTGATTTGTATCACATATTCAAGGAAAAATTCTAGTGAAACTGTAGCAATTAGAAAACAAAAGAAAAGCAGTTTTAAATCTGCAGTGAAAGATGTGTAGAGAAAATGAATGCAAAGTGGAACTGCACACAAGTGGTTTATTGAACAGTGACTGCTTTTTTCCTAGCATATATATAAGCACCTACAAGAGGTGATAAGTTTAAAGATCTTACACTTTTTCAGTGTTCATGACTCCAAAATTGAAACACTGCATATCAAAAAACTAACAAGTTTGTTTTCCAAAAATAATTTAGGATGCTAAGGATAAAAAGTTAATTTTAACTCCAAATGTGTAAACAGTATGTGTTGGCTAACAAAATATAATCAGACTATGTCGTTACAGAAGTGGGGTGAAAACTTCAGGGATAAAATTATTTCCTTAAATGAACTTGTCAGGTTACAAATGTTCATCTCCTTTATTGTTTCGTGTATGAGAACACAAGGCAATTACTATCTGAAATACAGCAGAAAGCAGATTTGTTTAAGGGCTAAGTAAAAGCCTGGAAGCTTTGTTCTAATAACTACGTAACTGCCGCTTAATAGTGAACCATTTTTTAATACCGAGACCAGTCTTAAAGAGTTACGTCTACAAGAGTTCTACATACTAATTCAAAGGTCTTCAGATTTTCCTGTTTCTCGTGTTAAGGAAGCAAACAAAAAGGACAGGACACTCAAACAGGACACACACACATCTTGGAAACAGTTGTCCAGCTTTGTAACCAGATTTTTCAGACCCTTCCCTACAACATTCCTTGTCAAGCCCGGAAAGCCCTGGCAGAGAAGTCTCTGGTCACTTCAGAGCCAGCCAGTGCCAGTAGAGAGGCGTCGGGGTTCCTTGTGTCCCCAGCCCAGTCAGCGGACCCTCCCCTTCGCGGCTCCCCGCGTGGCTCCAGCAGCCGGTGGCCCTGCGCTTGGAAGACAGGAGTCAGGAGCCCGGCCTCCTCCCGCCCCCTCGGCCTAGGTCCGGGAGGACGACCCTTCTCCCGCAGGCCAGTTTCAAAGGAAAAGGGGTCGGAGCGGGGAAAATAGCCATAACCGCCAGAGCCCTGGCCGCTGCGGGGACCAGCCCTGCGTCTGGGTGCGGGGAAGGCAGTGGGCTGCGAGGCAGGTCCCGACCCAGCTCTTCATACCCACCTTCCTCCCCCGGCGGCCCCCGCACCAGCTCCCGCGGCCCCGCCGCCGCCAGCTCCCGTTCCCGGCCGTAACGCCATCTTGCTCGGAGCCTGCCGCCGCCGCCGCCGCCGCCGCCTTACAAGCAGCTGTCAGATGAAAAGACAGCTACTTCCGGGGCAAATGCTAGGCCCCTCCCTCCCCGCGGACTGGGGTATGAGTAGGGGCGGGCGCCCACGTGACCCCCGGCGCCCGGGTAGGAGCGGCGTTCTGACCACGTGACCCGACCGGGTGCTGGGTCTCCACGCACAGTTCAATTCTGGGGCTGGTTGCGGGGTGGGGGGGGTCTCCAGTAGGTTAGGTGAATTAAATGCATTTTTCTTTTTCACTTCTGCCCCAGGGCTTTTACAGGGAAACAATTTGTAACAATATTGTTTACTGGTCACAAATCATTGGTTAGGAATTTTACTATTTTTTCAAAACTCGGTGTCCCTAAGAGTTAGTATTCACATTTTTACAGAAGAGAAAATAAAGGCTGAAATGTACTTTGCCCTGGTCATACAGCTGCAAAAGCAGCAGGAGCAGGATTCAAACCCAGGCATTTGACTTCACAAAGTCTGCTCATTTCACTAGAGCCAGCTACTCAATTTTCATGTTCTTTTTCGTAATTGTCTAATTTCACTGCTCCCCTTCTTTAGATGAAACTGAAATTTGTATAGCACATAGTCCCAGCTGACATTAAGGCATTCAGTATTAATCCATTGATATACCAAGTTGATACAGGTTTATGTAGCAACTTTATTTAAGGATGGGTGGTGTCACAGGAGAAAACACTAAAATAAAAAAGTAAAATGAAGGGAGTATCAAGGATCACAGAAGACATGATCTCTATTTCTGCCTGAATACTTTGTTCTCCTTTGCCTGCTAATTCCTACCTCTAGGAGACTTGGCTCAGGATGTCAGCCTTCTGTGACATCTCCAGTCCAGGTTAGATGCCCTCCTGCAACATTTCAGCATCGTGGCCTTATGTCTAACACAGCATTTGCCACAGTATTTGTTCCTTTACTTCAATCCCACCACTACACTATAAGGGCAGGGGCTGTGTTATCAAGCCATGTCTTCCTAACCAAGTATATTTGCTTAATGGGTATTTGTTGTGAATATTTGTTATGACGTTACAGGTAGTGCCAAATACTTTCAATCTTGAGACATAGTTGGTACTACTCCCAATTTCACGCATGAAAAAACAAAGCTCTAAGAAATTAAAGAACTTACTCAAAGTCATTCAGCAGGCAAACAGATGGCACCAGCACGTCTACCTCCAGAATATATACTGAATCAAAGATCTGTTTGTAAGAACAGAATCCCCCCATGCTTCTAAATACTTTTTTTTTGCACCTTGTAGCAATGAACAATTTTTGTTGCATCTAGAATATTCAAGTTGGAGCCTACCTATCCTGAATCTAGAATAAAAGGTTGAGAATAAAGGAAACAAATGTTTAATTGAATTGCTGCTGAGAAAAAGCTACCTATATTGCAGTATTGTAGCAGTATTGATGATAATGACTGAAAGTCATATCAGGTGCTATTCCAAGCGCCTTACATGTATGGGTCGATTTTTTATTCCACTGTGCAAAACTAGCAACTGAGAAAAATCTGCTAATAGTAAATAGTCTCCATCACTGGATTATCATAATCCTTTACCTCTGGCAGAGACCTGCTTTACTAAATGGTGGAAGGGCCATAAAGCCTCAGGAAAGATAAGCTGTGAGACAATGCAGCAGAGGTGTTATCAAGTAACAGGAACATTCTTCCTTACCAGGATAAAACATTTAACAGTTTGGAGCAAAGTCATCTTAAATGGAAAGAGACAGGAAAGAGAATGTTTCAATGATGGAAAATTGAGTAAGAAGGGAGATAGTGACCACAATCTTGTAGTTGTAACATTATGAGGTAAGATATGAGGTATGTTACCAATGAGGTTTAAGGATATTTAATAGACCAAACAATTTAAAATCTTAGGGAAACTGAGTAACCAGACACAGAAGAGGCATCTTTTTGTTGTGGCTCATACCACAAAAGGCCATCAGTAAATTTAAAAGTAGTAAAATAAAAGAGAGCAGTAGGTTTCTTCTTAGTAGATAATGTGTGCTGCTTCTTGTCCATCCAAAAAAAAATGCTGGGGAGGGTGGTGATGGTGGGAAGGGACATTTAATCTCAAGCCTTTCCTTTAAATTTGGTTCCAGAAGCCTTTCCACAGCATACGTCACACCTTCCTTCACACTTGAAGGTAAAAATCCTTAAGAATTCACCACATTTGGGTGTTGTTATTTTTAGTGTAAGCTTTTGTTCTTCTTTAAGAAGCATCTCTCTGGATTCAAACCACAGAAATTTCAATGAATGTTATTTTCACTGTGTAATTATCTTAAAGTCACCTACAAATTGAAATCTGACATCATGCACTGGTAATTTAGGATCACTTTTCAGCAGTCCTATGTTTTCATAGTTGATTTCAAATATCCGGTATGGGTGATATAAGTCTTGAAGTATTCCATGAAAACAACATTCATGCTGGGATCATAAAATTACATTTCTGATGTAGTCTTTTAAAAACGTCTGTTTTTAACTTTTGTCACCAAGAGCTACTTTCTTCTTGCTTTTCTGATTAGTGACCTTTTTCCTGTGACAAGTAAGGAAAGCTGAATCAGAAATTCCAAATATATATGCTTTATAAAACTCACCAGTTTAATAAACATTTATTGAAACCTACTGTATAATCAAATACATGAGGCACTAGGAACGCAAAGATGCATTAGACATGGTCTCTTGACCTTTAGAAAACCATAATCACCTAAGTGAGACAGAGACATCACAATAAACAACACTACTACATGGTATAAAAGACAGATTTTGATCCTGACCTAATAATGAGTACACACTAGGTGCTAGATACTATTATAAGTGCTTATACATATTAACTTGAATAATCTTCCTAACTTATGAAGAAGATTCTACTATTATGCTCATTTAGATGAGGTAAATGTATAGTGATTGAGTAACTTACTGATCTTCACACACTGGTAATAAAAGTTAGACATGCACCCTGACAGTCTGACTTTTAGAGTTTAGTGAGGGCTACCAACTAAGTGTTAACTAAGGAAAAAAGTTTTGAAAAAAACACTACAGTATAGTAATGCAAAGTTCTTAGATGTCCATTAACTCATTTAATCCTGAACCAACCCTCGGTGGCAGAGATGTTATTTACATAATTATTCCCATTTTATATACAGGGGGAAAGAGGCTTAGTTGAAGTGACTTGTCCAAAATCACAGGAACAGGTGGTATTAGAGCCAGTTCTCTGGCTTCTAATCTAATATTTCCCTCCATTGCACCAGGTTCAATTATAGTGCCAGAAGTGAGGTCCACCAGGTAACAGGATTCAGGCTTACAGCTCAGCTGGGAAGCTGAGCCTGAAGATGTGAACTTAAGAATTATCAGCATAGAGGTATGACATTCAGCTATAGGATCATTAAAGGAATTAGTCTAGAGTCAGATAGATGTTTTTATGCTATGTTAAGAAGTTCAGCCTTTAAATGGGAAGAAAATGGAGAGACATCAAAGTATCTTAAACAAAGGGTTGAAATGACATGATTTATACCAAATGTCCTGAAAGTTTTAGTGCAGCTTTAAGTTTCAATACCCCAAGTACAAATGCTACAAATTTAAAAAAATCAACACTTCAAGTGTAATTATTTAGAATACTGATGTTTCTTACTAAAATTCAACATAGCCACCATCTTATACTCTAGTTGATTCTAGTTAAAAACTTTAATCAGCTGCTGCTCTGTACCTGAAAGGACTGCATTTCTAATCCTAGCTTTATGATGGCTCAAAAAAGGAGGTTCTGATGCATGTGCAATGGTTCTGATATGAACACAAGAAAATATCTGAGACACATTAGGTGCCCAAGATGACCAGGCAGGGTGACCTTCTCTACTAGTCCACTGGTCTGTGTCATCCACAAACTATGGCCACCAAAAATTTTTTAAAATGTATTAACAACTCATAAAACTGAGTAAGCACAAAATTAAAATGATTATTTTCTTTTTTCTTCATAAAATGATAGTGCATCCATTTTCAAGCCTTTTGTTACCTTGCTCCTTCTACATGCCTGAATTTTACCAGTCCTTCAAGATAGCTCTAACTCCTTGAAATCTTCTGTAACTACACCAACCCATAATGATCTTTTTCTTCCCTAAACTTCAATTTTATTTAAAAATTATTCTCTAAGTTTTTTCATATATAATCTCCTTATAAACTCCTATAAAACTCAAAGAAAAGAGTCTTATTTTATATTCATTTGTATATGCTACTATCATCCAGTATCTGGCAGGACAACAGGTACTTGGTAAGTGCCTACATTTAATATATACTTTAAATAATGATTTTCTTTAAATAATGAAGAGTATTGTTCAGAATACTTTAGCTTACCCCTATCAAAACCTGTAACTTCCTAGCAGTACTGGGCAAGAAAAGTAGTCCTGTGTGTATGCTAAAAAAATCTATGCTTTAAACTCCTCAAAAACTCAGCTAACTACTACAAATTTATCCAAGTCATACTTTTTGCAAGTATTACAGTGTGTTTCAGCATAAGCCTACAGTTAATACTGAAATCCTGCCCAGATTATGGAGCTTCAAGGAAGGCTCCATCAGTGTGAGTCAACAGTCCTAACTACTGGCCCTCAGTATTATGTCCTGATGCAGGCTGTGTGGAGATGGTGGGCAGTGTTATTCTAACTCACAGTGAATTGAAATTATATTTTCAAAGACAGAAAAAAACAGATCATTAATATGTATACAGACACAGAAAAAAATCTAGGATTGAATCACCCAAGTTCCCAAATCACAGGCAATAAGATAAATTACATTTTATTTCATTTTTCAACAGACTGTGAATCTATCAATTCTACTTCTAAAAATTCATCCTAAGGAAAAATACTGCCTACTAAAACTACATGACAGAGTTAACTTTGCTCACTGTATACTTACCGTTTAGCTTTTTCTAAGAAACATTTTGGAGTTGTACTAATGCTCTCCCTTTCCAGGGGCTTCTTAATCATCTTTTTCTTTTGTTTGCTGAAGGTTACAAAGAGAAGAATGAATTAAGTGCAGCTTAATTTCAAAGAGCTACAGATAAAACTAGATTTGATTCTTGACCACAAAATTCATTTTTCAATCCATTTGGTGGTTTACAATGAAACTGTATTCACTTTAATATCTCCTAGATTACCTCATTGTATTTAGAGAGGTAACCCAAAAAGATTATAAATTCAATTTTTCAAAAGGGCACCAATAATGATTAAAATGTCCTGTGTCACCCTTATATCCTGTGCCAAACAATCATTAGAGTTTTATTTTGGCCAATTAACTGCTTTTTTTTCACTTTTATCAACTAAAAGCCTAAGTGTGTTTCACACTGAGTAATTTTTTAAAAATCTGAAAATACTTAAAATGTCAAGAACAAAAAAACTGACAAGAACATACACTATTCACAAATATTTAAACAGAAACATTTTATCTTAGTGTTCTAGAAGTATAATATTGTTAAAACTTTAATGTGCAGGAGTGTGATATCAAGAGTATATATGCAAAGAGATAGAGAAAGAGAAGATCTAGGTAAATTCAAGTTGTACCTTAGTAATTTTTGGAAACCCTTTATGTATTCTGGTACAGGACATCCGGCCTGCTGTATAACGTTGGCAATGCTGAAAAAGGTACCCATAAACATAAATTTGTATCTGTTCAATCTGATGTTCACGTACTTAAACCCTCTGCATGATATAAGAGAACTACAACTACAAGAAGGAAAATAATCCAGTGAAGTGTTCTGATTACCAGATGTAAAATCATAATGAATTAGAGAGAACTGCTGGACAGAAATTATTGATGAATGATTTTAGATAGCAGCTATTTCTACTTAATGTTTATCAAGCCATAAAAAGCCACTATGCCCAATTTTGGGTAAGATACTAACTGAAGCAAAGTCAAGCTTAAATTTATTAATTGATAGTGTTAGTACAGGCTTGGCATTGTCTTAAGCTTTCCAGATATAGTAACTGATTCAAACCCCATCCTTAGTAGTAAATACTATCATTACCCCCATTGCCCAGACAGAAAACTGAGGTGCAGAGTTATGCTAATATGGGGGTCCTCAGATTCATGTGCTTAGAGTTGCTAAGGGCACCTTAGGTGAGTCTAGTCATTTAGAACATGCTCCCCTACATATGCACATGTGAAAGTCTGCTTTCTGTCAACCAAGGTTGACAGAGCCAAGACTCAGAAGGCACAAACCAAAATCTCTGCCAAAACTGATAAACAGATGAAAGTTCTAACAACCTTGGGCCATAACTCAATTTCATTTGTTAGAAACATGAAGTGCTATCAATTTACATCAGCCTAAAATTACTGTAGGCAGCCAAAATTAGGAAATTCAGCTTCTGTATTAAAATCTATGATGACAGGTTAAATTCAGACTCAAGATTCCAGAAGTACATTATGTTACCCATGTATCAAGGGGCTACAATTGAATAATATTGGCCTGTGTTACTAAAATACTTCTTCCTGGGACTAAATATAAAACTCCATCTGCCCCTAATACTAATGGGAAGGATGCACCATGATTAGAAATAATCTTTATTGGGCTGAAGAGACTCAGGGGTTAACTTTTAAACTACTCACTAAATCAAAATATCACCGTAGCATTTAAGTAACACCAACTAATGGCTATTGGGAGAATCCTGTGAGCCTGAAACTTAATAATGAACATTCCATTATGAGTATTTCCAAATTCTAATAATGGAAGGGCAAAAACAATGCCCTTTGATCATTTTTCATTTTCTTATGGCTAGAATTTGGTTGACTAATGCATTAACACAATTTGGGACCTAGCCATTTTGTAATTATCTGTTAACTGTGTATGTGTGTGTATATATAGAAATGAATAATGAATGACAATCTTGCCTTCTCAATACTAAGTTATTTTTCCTAACTTACCTTCTTAATAATGGTTTATCATCTTCTGTGAAAAATGTAACAGCTTTTCCTTTATGCCCTGCTCTTCCAGTTCGACCTAAGGGAAATCAGACCATAAAAATACACTTTTTTTAGGGAAAGAGAACTTCAAGATTCACATATAAAAGTTACTGGATTTTCACAGCACTAAAAAATGAGCATGTCTGAAGGGAATAGTAGAGGTGCTAAGATAAGTGAGTGGGGCAGTGGGGTGGGGAGACAACTCACCTATCCTGTGAATATATTCCACTGAGCTGGTTGGAAAGTCATAGTTGATCACCAAGTTCACACCTTTAAAATCAATCCCTCTGGCTAACAATGCTGTACAAATAAGAACCCAGATTTTTCCTGCTCTGAAGCTGTGGACTGTGTTATCTCTCTGGTTAACAGAACATATTTAATGTTTTAGTACCACTCTAGGAATGGACAAGTACTTCATAATATCTAATGCCAGTATTTTAAAATTTAGTAGTTATTATTTTGAAAATATACATTTAACTTTACCTGTTGCTGTGTTCTGTCTGCATGAATAACATCCACATTAATACCTTCATATATGAGCTCATGAAAAAGTTCTTTAGCCCTTTCAATGGACTGAACAAAAACAAGAACAGGTGGGCTGAAACCCTAAAAGAAGGAAGGCAAAATAAGCACACATAACCCATAATCAAGAATACAATTGCAGTTATTTCATATCATTTTAGCTCATAAAAGAACTCAATTCAACATACTTTTCATTGCCAAATGTCTTAGACCAGAGCACTAAATCTGCTCCATCTTCCTCACTATCCATTCTCTACTCAGCTTGAGCTATAATTTCCAGTAATCTTGTCTAATTAATCTACTTTACTTTTCCACAGTGATGGATGCCCACTTCTTAAAACTATCATCTCTTGGCTTCTGTGCCTCAGAACTTTTCAAATTCTGCTAGTAGTAACTGTCTTTTTAATTTTTGTTTAATTGTGGGTATTCCCTTCCCTCAAAGCTTAGTCTTTGTTTCTCAGTTCTCTCAATATAATCTTTATTTTATTAAGTTAAATATAATGTTTTCAACTACCACCTCTAAGCAGATGATTTTTACATTTATATCATTAAACCCCACCTCCCTCTCAAACCAGCTTTCTATATTTTCAGTTGTCTACAATGGGGCTTAACGTTTTTATTTTGGTTCACATATCCCTTTCAGAATCTAACGAAAGCTATGAAGCTTTCTAAAAGGCAACCACACATTCACACAAAATCTAACACATAATTTCAGAGGGTTACAGACCTCTGAAAGGTCATACATGACTAAAAATCCCTAGTGTATAATCTCCATGTGAGTTACTTGTGAAAACCTTAAATGTCCTATTGCCAAATCATCTCCTTAATAATATTAATAAAACTAGTGCATATAGCATTTATTATGTTCCAAACATTATTTTAAGCACTATATTTGTATCTATTCATTAAAGTAATTCTATAAGGTAGATATTGTTGTTCCCATTATACAGATGAGGAAACTGTGAAACAGGTTAACTTGCCTAAAGTTAGAATTCCAATCCAGGTAGTCTGGCTCCAATCGTTCATGCTTTTAACCATTTCTGTAATAACCACACACTTGCAAACACCTTTCCCTTCCATCCTCCCACTCTTCTTAATGCTCCATCACTAAACCTGTCACCCTCATTTCCTCTTTATCTCTAACTGGCCTAATTTAACAGTCTGCTATTTTGTTGCCTTACTTTCAGTCTCTTTCTATTACAATTCATCTTTTATGCGACTGTTTAACTAATTTCCCTAAAAATTATGTGGCCACACTTTCAAAAAATGTCCAGTGTTTTCTCTCAATGTGATCCCAACTTTCCTGTCCAAGCTGATCTTTCTCACCATACACTCTTTGCCTTAGACAGGTAACCTCTTCAATTGTCTCCAAACACACTCACTGTATTCACCTCCACCTCTTAGACTTCACTCCAGCAGCAACTCCAGTCATCAGCACTCTCCGCCTCCATTTTTTTTATCCCACAAATCCTTAAAGGCCCAGATGAGTAGCACTTCCTCTATAAGGCTTTCCCCAACCAATTCAACTCACCTTGACAGACCCATTATGACTATATGGATGCTGAAGAAAAACATTCTATGGTCTTTTATGGTACTTTTTTACAAACTGTCTATTACACAGGTATATTTATTTTATCCCCTAAAAAAGACTAATTCCAGGGGCAAAGCTTAGGATTTATTTATTTTGCTTTTATATTTTGATGTATAACATTTTATTAGTTTAAAGTGTATGACATAATGATTCGATATTTGTATGCACTGGGAAATGATTACCACAGTAATTACCATCCATCACCACACATAGTTAGATACTTTTTTTCTTACAGTGACAAATTTTAAGATTTACTCTCTTAGCAACTTTCAAATATGAAATACAATATTATTATACTGTAGATGTTCATTATCTTCTGAGAACTAATCAGTTTGTAACTGGAAATTTGTACATTTTGACCCCCTGCACCCATTTTGCCCATCCCATCCCCTACCTTCTTTTGTCTGTTTTAATTAGGTTGTCTTTTTATTCTTGAGATGTGGGAATTCTTATATGTTCCAGATATGATTCCTTTGTGAAAGTTCTCTCCCAGTCTGTGGCTTGTCTTTTCACTTTCTTAATGGTGTCTCTTGATGAGCAGCAGTTTTTAATTTTAATGAAGTCCAACTTATCCATTTTTTCTTTTCTGGTCAGTGCCTTTTGTATTCTTTCTCAGAAACCTTTTCCTCTCCTAATATCATGAAAATATTCTCCAATGTTTTCTTCTAGAAGCTTTATAGTTTATGTATTTTCTTTTCATTACTAAAAAATGAGCCTCTTTATCTCTGGTAGTATTTCTTATCTTGAAATCTACTGTACTGAATGTACTGAAAATCTCGGTCTTAAATTGCAGTGCTGAGTCCATTTTCTTAAATGTGTTTACTACTATGGGTAGGATTAAGTCCACCATCTGACTATTAGTTTTGCACTTTCTCCCATCAGTTCTTTTTTTTTGGTATCATTAATGTACAATTACATGAGCAGCACTGTGGTTACTACATCCCCCCCATTATCAAGTTCCCACCGCATGCCCCATTACAGTCACTGTCCATCAGCATAGTAAGATGCTATAGAGTCACTACTTGTCTTCTCTGTGCTATATTGCCTTCCCCGTGCCCCGCCCCCCATATTGAGCTTAGGATTTATATTTCTTTTATTATCCCAACTCTGTCCCCTCATAGTTACCTTTTAATTATGGCTTCTACTCATACTTACTTGAAGGGATAAAAACAGAAAACCCACTTAGTGTCCTTCTCATTCCACAATGCTCCAGTTCTATTAAGAAACGAGCACAGGGATGCAGGGAGATGAACGGAGCAGATACATACGCAGAAGTGAAGAAAGGAAGCTTTCAGGGCATAAGGCAGGTTTTTTCCTAGCCTACCCTGAGCTGGGAACAGAAGACATCATATACTAAGAGGTAAGACTCCCACCTTGGGACAACAGTTGGCCCAATGTACTTCTTAAGAATTTACAACTGGATTACTAAATATGATATAGGAACAGTAGTCAGTCTCCCACCAGTAATATTCCTTGGTGTGAATTTTATCAAATTGGTGAACTTTATCAAAACTCAAAAATGTAGTCCAAATATACCTTTTTAACAAGTTCTCTCATGGCCAAAAGTTTTCCAGTCTCAGTCCCAACAAAGAGAAGCTCTTGTTCTACAGTCTCTACTGCAGAATTCCTGAAAAGAAAACATACACTGTAATTTCCAAGAGCCATTTTTGCTTTTGCCCTCTGAATTCTAAAGAAATGAAAAAATTTACACATAACTCCAACAGAATAAAGTTTCCCATTGTCAATATAAGTAATTACTTATAACCTGAAAACGAAGTTGTAATTTTTCAATGTTTTGTTCTAATTATAAAAATGTCATCTAAACAATATTGAAAATACAGAAAAATGTAAACAAAGTAAACTGTCCATAATTTTTAAATTTTAGAATAAACTTTGACAATTTCTTGTATTATAGTCATAAATTTTCATGTATCTAATTTAGTTACAAAAAAATTTCTAAAAGTAAAAGTTTTGGAAAAAATGAGAACATTTTTAAGGTTATTACATATGGCTGAACTTTTTTCCTAATGATGAGCAAGGGTTCATTTATAGACAGTTGGGGATGAGGTATCTTAAGGCTTTATTAACACTCTATAAGATGCTGCAATACATTATAAGGTGTCATAAATGTTTACCCATTCTGTTGCCTGCCATATATTTATGGTGAATTTGTTCTATTTTCTTTTTATACACTGAAGTTTTAAGTTTAAGGTAGTCAGTGTATTATTTACTGTTCTATGTGGCTGCTTCTTTATTAACCTGGTATTACAAGTACTTTCTTATATAACTATAGTCTTCATACTTATCACTTCATGGATTGCATAATATTCTATCAAGTGGCAATATTAAAATTTCCTAAAGGTTTTTTTCTGCTATTGAGCACTCATTTAGCATAAAATGCTCCCCAAAATATTTTTTGAAAGGTTATGAATCAAGTGGCTCAGTAACACCAGCTTCCTTCTCTGGGGTCCTACTTATCTAAGCCATCAAAGAAAAAAAATACTGTAGGTGGCCACACAGTTCATGTTATAGTATGTGAACGGAAAAAATCCACTAAAAGTAAGATGATAGGAATGTAATATGACAATATGAGAATCTTCCTTTGGTTATTCTAAAATAGAAAATCCTTAATCAATCTGACTTTAAAGAAAACATTTCTTTCAGTAAAACTCTTAACCTCAGGTCAAACAACATATCTGTTTAAGGCTGAAAAAAAAAAAGAGGCTTATAGTAAAAGAAAAATACCTCAGTATGATGACACGGAAGAACAATTACCTTGCTCCAATGGATACAGTAATGACATTGTCCAGGTTGAGTCTGCACCACTGCTCAACATCATATGCAAAAGTTGCACTGAACATAGCTCTTCTGACCTTGTGGGAAGTGCAGGCCAGGAAAATGGAAGCCAGCTGGTCTCTGAAACCAGTTTTGCCGTCTTCAAACAGTTTGTCTGATTCATCTACTACGAGCCATTCAACACTAAGAAATAACAAGACAACTTGTAGATATTTAACTGGACGATTCAAGACACTTCAGTACATAGTGGGGACACATGAAGAAGTCAAACCACGATGTTACTTCTCAGATCCACACATCACACCAGAAAAAAATAAAAGAAAAAAAAAGCAGGAAAAAAAGTAAAAAGAGAAAATAAATTTATGTTCTATTCTATTAGCCTCAAAGATATGAAGTTCCATTAGTAACAACCGAGCTTCACATAAACCTCATAAACTACAACACCATTGCTGAAAGATGTGAGAAAGCTACTGGAATTCTGTGCAAACTGCTTGTCAAATTCCAAAACTTTCTTCCCAACCAGATAGATATTTTTCTGAGTTTAATGAAAACCATTTTTCTAAGCATAAACACTGACTGAAAACTGGCAGAGAGCAAGCTCTAATGGGCAATAATACAAGTAACTGAGGATGAAATTAAAACACACACAAAAGACATTAAAATACAATCTATACCTTGTTAAATCTATTCCCGGCGGATCTTGCTTTAATAAATAGATTAGTCGATTTGGAGTAGTCACAAGAATATCTAGGAAAAACAAGTGGTACAAACTGAAAACCCATATTCAGCCCTCTTAAATTAGGGAATTAAGCCTCCTGAATTTCAGTTAATAACCTGAAATGGGAAGAGGGAGACATTATACTCACTACAATCACTACACCAACAACACAGAAGTTCTTTCTTATAATAAGCTAACAGACATATTTTTTAATCCATCACAGTACAAACTGTTATATCCTTATTCATTTATTATATTTAATCTGCCTTCTCAACTTCTAACTGGCAAGAACACTGTAATCCAACAGTTTGATTTTCAAACCTTTTTTTTCTCCCCCAGAAAAATCCCTTCTATAAATGAAAATTTTATTTAGAGGCTCAAGATAAAAGAGAAAAAAGCAGATTCTCTGGCTGACATAAGGGTCAGAATATAAACCTTTCTTATCTGCAGAGTACTTCTATGGTAGATAAAAAATCAGTAGTAAAAAAATAGTTTCTCAAGCTCAGCACTACTGATATTTTGGGCCATATAACCCCTTGCTATCGGGAGCTGTTCTGGGCACTGTGGGGTATTTAACAGCAACCTGGCCTCTGCCCCCTATACATTAGTAGCACTCTCCCCAGCTGTGACCACTTCAGAGTGTCCAGACATTGCCAATGTCTCTGGGGTGGAGGGTGAGATGGGGGTGAGGGGCAAAACTGCCTCTGGTAGAGAACTACTGGTATATATGTACATAACTCCTGAGTCTGGGTGGGGAGGAGACCTCGTTTCACTTCTCTAAAAATCTAATTATATGCATGACTGTGTTTAAGAACTCTTAGGTGGCAATTAGGATATTTGTAATTTCCAAATCCCTTATATGCTCTGTATCCCAAGTATGATTTCCTTACCAAACTTCTTAGATGACCGAGGTCCAAATTTCTTGGCTGCCACTGCTGCTTTGTGGATCATGTGTATCCTGAATCCTGTTCCCTCAGAGATTTTTACTAACTCTCGGTGAATCTAAAATGGAAAATGATAAAAACATTAGCTGCTAAGATACTTGGATAAGATGTGCAGTCTCTTTTGCTATTAACAAAATAAATGTATTCCTAACCCATAAATATCTGAAATTAAACCCATAATAACCTGTAGATCAACCTGGAATCTCAACATTTTGTAACTTCAATGCCTAATAAGATTAAGTAGTTTCTTCAGATCTAGTAAACTAGTTCTGACAGATAAAACCAAACTCTTCCAATCTGTTAAATATTGCTTTCAGAATACAGTACTATTACAAAATGACTTCACAACTTGGCATGTATTTTCTATTAAGCACACTGGGAGGATGGAGCAGTTGCTGTATACTTTTACTTTCTCAAAAACTGAGATAAGGGTTCATTTTTCTAAATGAGAAAATACATTTTAGAGAGGGACTATATGTTACAGTACCCCTTCAACTTAAGGATTCTTGGAGCATTTACCAAAGAAACCTAAGTATTAAAATCATGTTTTAGAAAATTATTGACTTAAAGTTTTCCCATATGCAGTAAGATACAGAACAGTATGCTCTGTACAGAATACTTGACCATGACAAAAAACACAGGCCTTACTCTTTCTGAAACCTTTTTATTACTCTCAAGTAAGAAGTGACTGAAACAAACAACACACACATCCTCTTTTGAAGAAACAAGTCATACCTGGCTGGCAAGTTCTCGTGTTGGTGATATAATCAGGGCTCTGAAGCCTTTATTTGTGGGTTGTTTCAGCTGCATTAAAATGGGAATGCTAAAAGCCAAAGTCTTTCCCGATCCAGTAGGAGCAGAAGCCAGAAGTTCTCGACCCTAAAAGCAGAATACATTAAGTACAAGGAAACAGTACATAAACTTTTCAAAGCCTGCTCAAATGCTACCAGCCACAGAATAAAACAGTATGTAATGAATCATTTATTCATGTTCCCATCACTTTTTTAACATCATCCACCTCTGTGACCACTGCCCCAATGAAGTTTCTGAGCACTGCCACCAAAGTCCACTTAAACTGGGTAAAGAATATGTACAACTAAAATCCAAAGACAATTCACTACTTCAATTATTTCAATTTTTCTTTACCATTAAGCCCATTTATCAAAGCAAAATTATAAAACCAACTTTTTGTCCTGATACTTGTACTGTTCAACCCCTAGGGAAGGTTTTAATAAATAACAGAATGCCTGAAAGAAATAAAAAGTAGTAATAACCTGAGTGTCAGAGTATTATAGGTGATTCAAAAAGTCACTGTGATTTTTAAAACTTTAAACTGAAGTCATGACAGAAACAATCTTAAATGAAAATTAAAAACAAATTGACTGTAGTATGAGTCAACATCATTTAAATGTACTCTCATTTCAGTTCCTTCAGAAAACGAAAAGGAGTAGCATGGATGAAAAGGTAATTAGTATCCTTTAGCTTCCAGAACTGAAGGCCATATCTTGGTTATTACATGGGGAAAAAAGTCAGCTCTCATGACTCCAAAAAGGAAAACCTTAGAAAAAATTTCTGAAACCCTAATTTAACCCATATTTCTTTTAACAGGTGGATAGACAAGTTGCAGTATATTCATACAGTAGAATACTATTCATGGATGGAGCTAGAGGGTATTATGCTCAGTGAAATAAGCCAGGCAGAGAAAGACAAGTATGAAATGATTTCACTCATCTGTGGAGTATAAGAATAACAGCAGCAGAATCACAGAACCCAAGAATGGACTAACAGTTACCAAAGGGAAAGGGACTGGGGAGGATGGGTGGGAAGGGAGGGAGGAGGGAGAAAAAGGGGCACTATGATTAGCACACATAATGTGGGGGGGGTGCACAGGGAAGGCAGTATAACACAGAGAAGACAAGTAGTGATTCTATTGCATCTTACTACGCTGATGGACAGTGACTGTAATGGGGTATGTGGTGGGGACTTGATAATGGGGGTAATGGGGGGAGTCTAGTAACCATAATATTGCTCATGTAATTGTGTAATAATGACAGCAAAATTTTTAAAAATGCAAAAAAAAAAAAAAAGAATACTATTCATTAAGAAACTACTGATAAATGCAATATGAATGAATCTCAAGAACAGTATGCAGAGTGAAGAAACCAGAAATAAAATAATAAATAATGAATGATACCACTTACATGACACTATAGAAGAGGCAAAAACTAATATGTAGCAATAGAAATCAGAACAGTGGTTACCTATGGGCAGGGGCAGAGTGAGGACAAAAAGGCACAAGAGTATGTTCTGGGGTGATGAATGTGTCATACATCTTCACTGGGCGATGGTTACACAGGGTACACACTGTTGAAACTCACTGAACTGTGCACTTAAAATCTATGTATTTTATTGTATGTGAGGTATTATTGAAATCAATAATAAAAGGTATTGGGGGAAAACACAAAGTCAAGTCATGCAAAATAATTCTGTATTTCTGAAATAGTTCCTGGGAGTTATAAACTAAATCATGGATAAACAGAACATAGTACCTATTCTCAAAGTGTTTACACTCTAGTAAAATGGAAAAGGTAAATATAATTTATGCAAATACACAGCAGTGTAACGTTGAAGATAAATGTTGCAAGGGAAAGAACATACTAAATAACTTGGAGAATTGGGCGGCAGGGGAAAGAGTGTCATTGGTAAAGGACAAAGATCTCATCTAGTTGTAGTAATCAAGACAAGTTTTATGGAAGCACAGGCATTTGAGATGGATTAAAAGCAAGGGAAGGATTTCAGCAGGGGATGATCAACTAGAAAGGAAGATTTCAAGGACACAGGGAAGAGAATGTGCAAACACACAGAGGAATAAATGTTAGAGGCACTCTAGACCTTCATACTCACATGCAGCATAACTGGAATGGCTTGCATTTGGATTGGTGTAGGTATCTGGAACCCTGCATCTAGAATGTTCTGAAGTAGTTGAGAACTGATTTTATATTCCTGGTCAAGTTGCTGAAATGTAGCAATTGGGTCAGGAAGATCAGTTCCTTGGATGTGAATTTTGTGTTTATTCCGGATGAAGTTTATCTGTAAAGTGAAATAAAGGGGTCACTGTTGATATGGCCAAATACACTGTCAGATGTTATAAAACAACAGTAATAGTTTCTAGGACAAGCTTTGGTAGCATTTGAAATGTTTTGGTTAAATTCTAAGCCCTAAAAGATACAGATATCAGGTACATTTCATGCCCTTTCATAGACAGCAGACCTTCAAAACAATGAAACCTATCCATCCACACTTGCTTCACATTAATGCATCAATGTCATGAATAATGGTATATTTATGTGCTACCATCAGAGTCATAATTTATAATACTATACCATCTATATATTCTTTATATGGCACTTAGCACACAAGTGCCAATGCTTTTTCATGATTTAACCTAAACACAATTTTTAAATTTACATTTTTTAAGGTTTATTGAGGTATAATTGATATATAAAAAATTGCACACACTCTCATTTAAATTTGACTCCACATTGATTCCACTGGACACTTTTTAAAAATTAAAGTATCATTGATATACAATCTTATGAAGGTTTCCCATTAACAACATTGCCTAAACACAATTTGTCAAAACTAAGTACCAAAAGAACCAAATGGTGTTGATTTGATTTGTTTTCCCATTCTGTGATCCAGACACAGCCAAGTTCTGGACTCCAGGTTACTGAAGTGTGCTGAACAATCCACCTGTGATATGGCAGGTGTGCAGCAGACATGACAATGGTATATTTATTGTTTCTTCTGTATTCTACTCCCCCTAGTCCCAAGGTATAAAATAGGTTTCTTAGGAATTCTCTCCAATCCCTGTCAGAGGAAATCCTTCTAAACCAGTGAGCTTAATAGGGGAAAAAGGGGGCCAATTTTATGTTTATCAAAAGGGCATAAGAAATTTTAGAAATTTAATTCTGAACACATTATCAACATTGAAACTTGAAACGGTCAAGAATTATACAGTAATACTATAGGATAATGTATATATGTATGTGTGTGTATGCATATGTAATCTTGACCTGTTCAAGTTTCAAGATACTTTAAAGAACTTTAGACAAAAAACTTTAGCCATAACACAAACACCCACTTTGCTGTAAGATCTCATTAAAATCTAAACTCAGGTAATCAACCTTTTATCTTCACAAAACCTACATTTACTTTTGCCAACACTACCCAAGGACAGTGAAAAATTCACTAAGTCAGAAAAGCAACTAGGGCCATGACATTTTTCTAACCTTTTCTTTTCTGAGATTCTCCAACTTCCCTGAAGTTAGTTTATTTTCTCTTTTAGCTTTTTTATCTTCAATCTTTGCTTCCACAGATGATATCCACTGTATAGTAGAACCTTCTTGAGAAGCAGTTTCTAGAATATATTTTTAAAAATTAAAAGATTTTAGGTGCACCATTCTTGGGTATAGGCAGTTAATAGTACCTTCACCCTAAACACAAGAAACAGTACTAGCTGATACAAGTAGATAAAAGAAAGTAACAGGAGGTATAAAAATTGAAAAGGAAAGGCAAGTTCTGTGTTGTTAAACTCAGAGCTCTGAAGCTCATTCTCTTCATTTTGTTAGTTATATCAGCTGTGTAATATGTAGACAACTGTATACTTGAACACAACAGGAGATTAATCTAAAAACTACTTGAACAGTAGGAGATCTCAATGAGTAAGCTTCTCTATATCCAAACAACAAGCAGAAAATAAGTATGATGAAAGAAAAGATATCACTTATAAAGCAATGAACACAACACAATACCTGAGGACTACTCAAAAAAGGCTGCAATTCTCACTAAATCTATAAATAACATTAGTTCAATGAAAAGTACTGACAGGGCTATTTTGGTAATTGGACTAGCTGACTTCAACGTTTATATGAGAAAATAAATATATGCAAATAACTAGAAAATTCTAAGAGTGATGAGCAAAGAGTAATGAGAAATTCTAGAATGTTTTTAAAATTTTTTTCAGCTTCACTGAAGCACAACTGACATGTAATAAATCGCACATATTTAAAGTATACAATTTTGGCATACATATACAGCTGGTAAACCACCAATATTCAAGGCTATTTCTATCACCTTCCAAAATTTCCTTGTGGTCCCTTGTAATGCACCGCTCCATCCTTAGGCAACCACCTATCTGCTTTCTGTCACTGTAGGTTATTTTGCTTTTTCTCAAATTTTATATAAATGGTATCATGTTGTATACTAAGTTTGGTCTGGTTTCTTTCTCTCAGGATAGTTATTCTGAAATTCAACCACATTGCACCATGTATCAATAGTTCTTAATTTTTTTATTTACAGGTAGTATTCTACTATATGAATACACAATTTGTTTATCCTTTACCTGTTGAAGGACATTTGAATCATTTCCAGTTTTTGGCTATTAAAAATAAAGTTGCTATGAACAGTTGTGTACAAGTCTTTGTGAGGATTAAGTTTTCCTTTGTCTTGGGTAAATTCTAGGAGTTGAATAGGTGGGTATGGTAGATGTATGCTTGACGTTTTTTTAAGAAGTCCTTTGTCAATTCCAACCAAAAAAGTCTACTGGAATTTTAATTAGGTTTGCATTGATTCTATAGATCACTTTGGGGAGAAAATATTCAGTTGCCTGATCAATGAACATGGTATGCCACACCATTCTACTAGATTTTATAAGGTCACAGTAATTAAAACAATCTGGTATTGGTATATGAAGACAGAAATATAAATCAATTCAACAGAACAGAGACCAAAGATAGATTCAAATATATATGGGATATGAGTTTACAATAAAAGTTACATTTAAATCCAGTAGGGATAAAATGGATTATCAACATATTAGGAAAATTGGCTAGCCATCTGGAAAAAATTAAGTTAGTTTCCTACGAACTCCTTATATCAAACAAATTCTCAGAGGGTCAACGATTTCAACATAACAAAATGAAACTACAAATGAGAAAACAAAGGAGAATTTCAAAAAAGAAATTTTTTTTAAGGGCTTAATGTTTAGAGGCATGAACAAAAAAACAAAAAAAATAAAGAGAAGATAATTTAACACAAAATGGTTGAAAGAAAGGAGATAAAGGTGTCACACGACATACTAGAAAACACATTTGTAACCATAGTATGTTAGACATAGAACTAACTTCCTTAATACATATGGGGTCTAATAAATTAGGAAGAAACATGAACAATCTAGTAGAAAAATGATATAAAATACACAAACAAATTTACAGGAAAGGAATTCTCGTACATTGATGGGATGGTGAACATCACAAAGTAGAATGACTTTTTTTTATTGAAGTGTCATTGATACACAGTCTTATATTGGTTACAAGTACACAGCAGTCGTTCAACAGTTACTCATATTATTAAATTCTCACCCCCACTAGTGCAGTTACTATCTGTCAACATAGGAAGATGTTACAGAATCACTGGCTATATTCTCCATGCTGTACTACCAAACCCACGACCAACTTGTAATTGAGAATTTTTGTGCCCTTTTATCCTCCACACCCTCCCCATCAACCGACCCCAAACCCTCCCCCTACAATGACTTTTTTTAAAAAAATCAAATTTTATAAGACAGTTGGCAATAATAGACCCAAATTACTAATCCATAAGAATGTGAATTTTCCAATTAAAACTATGTATGTCTATACACATTTGTTGCTAAATTGTTGAAGTACATATCTGTGTGTTTCTTCTTGTCCTACATTTGAATCTTTTCCCTAAATATGTGGCAGCGCTTTTTTTTCTTTAATCTTAGTGAAAGATTTTATCAAACTTTACTACAGATCGGGAAGTAAAATTACTTTTTCCAACAATGTAACAGCACAAGTGTGGAAACAAAGTTCCACAACACAGGAACTGTTTCAAATTAATTATGGAATATCCCTACAATGTACAACAGGCTACTAAGTTATGCTTCAATGAACAAAGCAGTAGACCTACTGATAGAATGTTTCTGGCAGATAATTCCAAAATATCTCAATTTAAAATAAATCTATGTTAACTCTAAAATTCCTCTCCTAAGAATTTATCAGACAGATACACTCACATAACACATAAAGGAGAATGACATTTATTACAACACTATAAAACAGTGAAAGTGAGGAAGCAAACTAAATGTCCATCACACAGAAACTTGTTAAATCAATTATGGAATATATAGTGGGATACTACACTGTGTTAAAATGAACAAGCAGTGCACTTTCTACTGATTACAAAAAATCTCCAAGATATATTGCATTTTAAAAAGGGAGAGGTAAGGTTCAGAACAGAATAGCATATAGAGTATGCTATCATCCTTGTTTTTTAAGGGACATATAATACATGTGAATACAACATCTCTACAAAAATACATAAGGAATTGATAAACACTGGTTGTCTCTGGAGAACGAGGTGACTAGAGACAGTGGGAAGAAAATTTACTTTTAACCACTGTATAACTTTTTAAAACCATGTGTATTTATTAATTTATTAAAAAGGTAAACGGCTAGGAAACTTAATAGATGATCAAAGGAAAAGACAGCCTGATAGTACAACAAAAGACCCTGAGTGACTGTATATTGTCGGAATTATAACCATAAACTTGTTTATTTTTGTAACTAAAAAAAAAAGCAATCAAGCACTAACCTGAAGTCATCTTCCTCCTCTTTTTCTTGTTCTGCTCCCTCTTCCTTTTAATTAGGTTCTCTTCTTTTTTCTCTTCATCTTGGAGTTCCTGATGAGTTGATGTTCCACACTCACCTGGGACAGACTTATTTCCAAAAAAGTCCAGTCTCTGCAGGACCTCTGAAGAATCAAAATCATATTTCCTTTTTCCTACCTAAAACAAAAAAAATTTTTGATGAAATTTGCTGTCAGACTGTTACTGCTTTCATCCAAGCAGTATTGGAAGTTAGGATGTAGGTTCAATGACTCCCTATCTTTAATTTACCCTTTCAGCAAATATCTGTTGCTCTGACAAATATGTCTGGGCAAACAGAATCCACAATGATATCTCTTCTGACCTTATAGCAGTAATAACAATAATAACCATAATAGCAACCAATACATATACGCTTATCAGAGTAACACATGCTGTCGGACAGATTTCCAAACACGTATATATGTATTAAATTACTTCCTCCTTCAACAGCCCTAGGAAGTAAACGGCAGTTTTACAAATGAGAAAAATTGAGGCATTAGAAGGTCAAATAACTTGAGCAAGGTTTCAGAACTAAAAACTTTCAGACCCAGGTTTTGGACCCGAAGAATCTGGCGGCTCTTTATAACCAAAAAATAACTACACTGCACTGCCAGCAAGAAAAAAAAACAAAACAAAACACGTGTCGCGGGCGCCGACACACAGACACAAGGCCCTAGTCACATCAAGGTTGACACTCAAGATTTTCCATAACAGCGCCCCAACTGACTTCTCCCGATTTATCAGTCACTCACTACTTTCCTATGTCAGTCCTCTCCCTGTTTTTAAATGGCTCTTCTCTTTGAACACGCTGTGGGGTTGCGGGAATAAAAAGAACCCTGTACAGTAAAGGTATGTGCGTGCCAGGCCAAACCCGGGCAGATTCTGGTGAAAGAATCTGTTCTTTCCGCTTTGGGCTAATTCTGTTTTCGAAATTCCTTCCCACCAGTTTCGGAGAAAAGGTTACTTTTGAATAACGGATTCCAACTGTTGCTTTGAGTAAACTATGGGGTGGGGGACGCGTTTCCGTGCCAGGCCCAATTAAGTCTATAACAAGATGGAAAGAGTTCGCTTAGACGCCTGGACTTGACCGGGTGGGTCTGCGAGGAAGCGTCAAGCAAAATGAGGGACAATGCCGCAGTCTGGCCACGGGGTCTCCGTGTGCCGGCTCTCCCAGCAGCCAGTTCATTCTCGGGCTCCTAATCCCCCTCAGTTACTCGGGCTTCTATCCCTCTGCGCACAATACCTGGAATCGGGCTGCATCAGCCGAGAAGCGTCTCACGTCGAATTTGGCTCCTGCACCAAGCCGGCGAAAGAGATCGTGAGCGTCCATCTTCACCCAGCAGGCTCCGCAGCCCCAGAGCGCACGCGCAGAGAACTTTCCTCGCACAGAAGGCTTCCGGCTTGGCCGTGGACGGAAGTGACTGGGGGGTGGAGCCTGGCTGCTGGGAAAAAGTGGGCTGTATTGTCGTCATACGGTCCGTCATTATTTGTTCTTTCAAAAAATATTTACCAAGATCCTCTTACGTCGGGCATTGTTCTTGGCTTTTATGGATAACATCCCGAGATTCCTCACCTCAGGAAACTTTAAGTTTTAGTGGAGGCAGAAGGTATTGTTAAATAAATTAGCAAGATAATTTTCCAAAGTGTAAAGTGCTAGGAAACAAATCCGTGTTATTGATGGAAACAGGGAGGGGCAGATACTTTTAGGTAGATTAGTCAGGTTCATTCTAATGAAGTGATATTTGAGCTAAGAGGAGGCAGCCTTTCCCAGATCTGAGAAACAGCTTTCCAGATAGAGGAAATACATGCCTGAAGAAGAGAAAAGGTTTGGAACATGGAGGAAATAGAAGGCTGGGGTGACTGGAGCCAAATTGCAGCCAAATTGGGACAAATAAGGTTGGAGGGACAAATAAAAATCAAATATCATAGAATCTTAAAACAAGGTCGTGGTAAGGAATTTGGATTTTACTCTAAGCACGTGGGAAGCTATTCAAAATTTTTTACTGAGAGAGCTGATCACCTTTTATACTCATTTCCTCCACCGCATTTGTACTATACAAAATTATTTACTTGTTCATTGCCTCCCCTCCTAGAATGGAAGTCCATGAGCACCGGAGTCTAATTTGTTTCACTGCTATATCCCTAGTTCTTGTATGTTCTCAATAAATATTTGATGAATGAATGAGAGAACGTTTTATAAAAGATTATTTTGGCTATTGCAGTGGAAGCAGGGAGGCCAATATAGAAATGGCAATGGTGGCATGGACTGGGTGGTATCTGTGCTGGTGGAGGTAAATGAACAGGTTTGGGGATATTTTGGGGGTAAAGCTAAATGCACCTGGTGGATTTCCTTTGGAGGTTAAGGGAAAGGGAAGAATCAAAGATCACACCTAGGTTTTTGGCTTGAAACCCTGGGTACATGGCATACCATTTACTGAACTAGAGACGAGTAAGGGAAAAGTAACTTTTTGGTGAAGATTAGGCATGGGTGTGTGTGGAATCAAATGCTATGTTTTGGGCATGTTAGATTCTAGTTGACTTTAAGTCGTGACATCAAGGTAGGTAGTTGGTTCTATGAGTCTGAAGAAGGTCAGTGCTGGAGAAAGAAATTGAGGTGTCATCCACATATAAATGATACAATAGAGTTATACAAGATTTAGTTTATTAAAATCTGAGTTTTACATAGTCAACCACAAAGTGTGAGAAATATTTTAAATACTGTGGGTGCTGCCTTTACACCCAAGGAAAGTAAGTTTGGATAGAGCAGGAGATGGGGGTGTGAATCTGCTATATCCTCAGTTGGATTCAGATCCTGATTCCCTCTTAAAAGTAGGAGCATCTTGCTGTCTTATAAGTGAAAGCATTTTGCTGCT